ATGTGATATGAGGATTACCATCACTAGTACCATATGATAATGATTATTGTGAAAAAAAGGGCAAGAAGGGCATTTAGGCCATCTTAATTTAAACTGAAGATGTAATACAATTTGTATAAAAATGTTACAAGTATCAAAGAGTGCATTCAAGTTGATCTGCAGACAAACAGATCCGTGGATGAAATATGGCCAAAGACACTTAAAAGCAATGCCGACTAATCCCGTGATGCCCCCCCCTCCACACGCACTGTTCCATGCAGAGGCCTAGGTATTTAACCTCTGGTTCCAGATGTAATCCTTTAAATGGCACATGTGGGAGACCCTCAGGGGACTAGGCTGCTAGCTTTTAAGTGGGGCATTGCCCACATTTAGTCTGCCGATTAGTTAGTCCGTGGATCATCTGTTCTGAAAGGACCTATATTACCACCGGTGTTCACTAAATGACCAGACCTATGGGAAGTAAATTCAAATTGGAAGGGGGGGGGGTAGTATTTTTTAACATTGGACCTCATTTCACCTAGATAACCCAAATGCTGTTGACAGGGGTAGAAGGATGCCATTATCTGGGTCTTCAGGAAGACGACCAGAATTTGGCAAGTTTACACTGACAGGCACCTAATTTTTTATCTGCCAGAAGACTGTCAAAAATGGATGGGTCAACAAAAATAATTTGGAAGACTGTTAGAAAATCCATGGATCCACCCCTGGTAGACCCTAGAACAAATTTTGACACAAAGCATTTTTTTTCTGCTGAAAGAGCTGTTCTCCTCCCAGCCTCCCTCCCCCCCAAATTGCCTACAGACGGGCGTCTTAGCAATATAGCATGCATACACATTGCGACTAAAATTAGCTATAAAAGAATGTAACTATAGTAATATCAACTGAGATCGTGTTTTTAATGAATTGCAGTTGGACTTAACCACATAGTCCTCACTGAAAATCAGATCTGCCAAACTACAGGTCATTTTGAGAAATAAAGAAGGTAAAGATTAATTATTACAAAAACTACCTGAAATTAATTTTCATGGAGTATTTTGTATCAAGATTTTGCAACAATTTCCAACAAATTGATATCATGATAGTAAATAAAATGTTCAAAAATTAATAAAAAATTGTAGTCTTGATAGATAAATGTTAAGATCTTATATATTAAATGAGAACTGTCTCTGTTCCTTTTCCTATATCTTTTTTAATATGATTATAAAATATTCGTAATATATCAAAGAGATGCACTGTCTATTTTTGTACAAAAAATTGAATCTGATTAAATGTAAGTATTCAACATAAAGAAAAATGTTTCCACACAACAAATTTAAAACAAATACATCAATCACCTGCAACTGAATACACATGATGAGCAACCAATGTACTGGTGAATCCTTAAATAATTCTACAGTATGAATTGGTTTCCAATCTACTACGGGTGTATACTCTTCTGTGATACTCCAGAATGACAATGTGGATTTCCATGCATGTACATACATTTCATGATTTAATGTCCATACCTATACCTCTACAACTCAACAAGAAACAAGACATTAATATAGTTGGTGGGAAATGAATAATATGGGTTTTTTGTTTCTTTCTTAAAAAAAAAAAAAAAAACATCAATATGTCATTTGGCCATATGCCCACTAACAGCATGACAAAATAAATTAAAAAAAATAATCATTTATAAAGCTGAGAGTAATTACTGTCTAGTTTTACATATTTTCTACCAGAATATATAAAACAAATATGTAATTTAAAAGCATTATCTTGATTAAGTACATCATATTATCTACAAAACTGTCCCCTTTTATTTAATAAATACAACAGTTAAATTAATGACAAAAAGAACAATATGCTTTTTGGCCCGTATGTGCACTTTGGAATATTATATCAGTTTAACATGGCTTCTAATTATACAACATTGCACATTCCATTTGATATAGAGACACATGACTAACAACAATATTTATGAAAAAACAACTTACATCTTATATAGCCCAAGGCCTCATACTACCCACCAAGACTTTCCCATAGGTGGCACATCCTACAAGATGAGCTTTAAAAAGTCACTGTTCTGAGGATGAGATCATGTCACCATCTGACTTTTCTTCTATACATGCATGTTATGGATCTAACTAATTAAAACACACATGTAAGATCTTAAACGTAAGTACTGTATTGCATATCGCTGACCCTAAAGGAGAGAAACTGACTCTTTTTTTCCCACTAAACACTGCACGTCTCACCCTATAGCATACACTATCTTATCATCCATTAGTATGAACTGTAAACAAGTATGGATTTCCTTAGTTTAGGATCCTACAAGGCAGCTTACACACTACAGTGTTCATTGCTTTTTAGAGAGAAAAAGTGTAAGAGAAAGAGATGGAGAGAGAGAGAGAGAGAGGGAGAAAAAATCTCCCTCAGGACCACTATCCCTCTTTTCACCTCGACTTATCATCCTCATTTTCACATTCTTCCTCTACCTGATCAGTGAACTTGTAGAAATACGGCAGGTTGTAAAAGTTGTGCTCTGCCTTGACATGGACTATAACTCGCCCTAACACCAGTTTCTGACCGTAGGCAACCGCGTCTAAGGTATCAACAGCAAGACCGACCTCCAGGAGCCATTTCACGAGATCTTCGCCAGTGAAAACGCTTCGATAGACTCGCATTCGGAACCTGGGTGAAAAAATAATGGTTTAGTTTGGACAAAGGTGGTACTGTGAAAAGATATGTGTAAGTACATGTAGATCTTGTATTCATTGATCAGATGTTTAGAAAATCCTTGACTGATTAAGGCTTTGGTGAAACTGCCAGACAAGTGAAATTGCAGCTACATAACATTTACAGTTAAACTGTATATATATGCATGGTTGTTTGGAATCTTGACCTCATTACAGAAAAAGGGGGTGAACGGCAAGTGCAAAATACACCTTTAAAAAGATCCCTTTAAATAAAACTGGTCATATCTTGGGGATTTTTGACATTATCAATCTGCTATATTCTTGCATGTGAATGTAAAATGGTCACTGACAATAAATACCATACAAAGACCACATTCAGATTCACACATCATATGTTTAACTCTGTGGGGATTTTTGCTAAAGGGCATATCTTTTCACTAAAGGGCAAACAGTGGCATCAGCTTAATTGTCCAACATGACTCCTCCAGAAGCTAAGGGGTAATTAGCTATGGCGTGCTGATTAAGCTGATTCCACCTCTTACCTTTTAAGATGGCACTATAAATTACAATTCATTTGTAAGGAAAATTACAAACATGCTCATACTGTACTATACTATGACAGATGCAGTTCAAATATGACTTCAGATAACAGACGAGTCCTATTATATATATATACACACATGTATATTCTCACTGAAAGAAATAACTTATACTGTACAGCAATCATGCACTAACAGTGCTACATGATAAAATGGAGTAAAAATAACTACTCTATTCTGTGTGGCAAAAAACAAATATCACCACATGGATTATAAACTTACTCAAAGAGTTATTCCTGGAGCTTGCAGGCAAAGAGAAAGATTCAATTACAAAACTCCTGATAAGACTTTCATAAACCATTCTTAATTCACACACGAAAAAAGGTAGAAATGTCTTTCATCTTTTTGTATCTCAAAAGTCAATACAGCCTATATGCCAAAGGACATACATTCAGGGCAAAACTCCCAATTGACATCTATTCTTATAAAAAACACATGGCAAACTAAGGGGATTGAAGGGGAGTTCTTCCCAGCTTTCTTGTCATAATTTTTCATCTTTCTACCCCCACCCTTTCACTTTTGATGCCAATTAAATAAAACCATTCACCAATATCCGTTTTGGGCATTGAAGCTGCACAAATAAAAGTAGGACATAGCTGGCAAAATATAAAAATGACCTCTGTTTCTTTCTCTCATCCATTAATTCTCACCTTCTATCTTTGACCAGCTCCTTCTTACATCTTTCTTTGTGATAGTGATTGAACTGTTCACAGGTGTGTTTCACCTCAGGGTCCAGCTCATCCCAGTTTGGCATGTGGATTGTCTCTACACCATATATCAGCTTGCGCCATCTATAGAGAAAATTTATACCAATCATCCTCTCATGGAAGACAATTTCAAATTGCCAGGAATGAACATGTATAGTTCCTGACCCACAAACATTCAGCTTGAAGAAAATGATAATTATGTGAAAATGGTTGAGGCAAAAGAAGCTAATTTAAACTNAATAATGTGCCACCACAAAGTACTTTTTAATACAGCATAACACGAAAACCCTTTGAAATACAAAAAAAACGGAGACCACTCTCAGTGTTGGGCTTTACATGCTCTATAAAATGCAAAAAAGAACGGGTCGCTAGCATTAACGGTTCCCGAATTAGAGACAGTTTTCAGTTTCGGTATCTTATGGCCGCTACTCCCGAGAAAATGCACCGATTGACCCCAAATTCATGGAGATGAAAGATGACCCAAAGGGTAACACTTTCCAATATAATTATTGGTTAAGTCTGTGTAGTGTCTGAATAACAGTGCAAATAATATTTTTTTTCGTAAAAAATTTCATTTTTTTGAAAATTTTGGCCCGTTTGACCTTGAAATAAAGGTCAAAGGTCAAATCCAAGGGCATATTTGAAATCTACACATATGACTTTTGGAAAGCCGTCTGTAGAAATTTTTCCCATAATTCCTTCCGTAGGGTAGATAATTGGCATTGAATTTTCAAAAATTTTGACAAGGGTGCATTGCAACGAGCGTCACGCCCAGGTCAATGCACCGACTGAGACAAAAAAACCTGGGGGTTCAAGTTGAGGTTATATGTGACCTAAATCCAAGAGATGGGGACAGGGGTCCTTGTGGTCTAGGAGGAGAAGCGGTAACGGTGACTTGTATCCGGCGCCAGTACGCGGAGCCGGCGGAGCTTACGGAGCCGGCGGAGCCAACGGAGCCGGCGGAGCTGGACGAGACGGGTCGGGACTAAAACCATGAGTACCGCCAGCGTACACGCTGGTGGTACTAATAAGAGGAAAAAAAGAATTACTACATTTCAAAAAAATGAAAAATTAACAAGAAAGCAAAATTAGTACATAAAAAGCAATCATTTAACATTAGTGTGAAAGAACCTGAAACTCACATCTGATAATTAAGCAAAACGGTAATATGTAATCATTGATCATTTTATGCAAAAGTTCATGTTTACAGTTATTAATAAAAACTTGTTAGTAATCAAATACACAAACAAGTCATGCATAATAGCAATTCATTATTTTCAATTTCAAATCTAAAACCCTCAACAAAAATTCAATTCTCAAAAACATACACCACAATGCACATACATGTAAGTCAACTCAAACATCATTACAAACACTTGTAAGCTAAAGCAACAAGGTTATTTTATAAATATTCTAGTCAGCAGTTTTCTTGTCTTGACAAAGTTATAACTGCTAAACAGTGAATGCAAGTGTGAATTTTCCAAAAAATCACTGTTGCATTAAGACACCAACTGCCATCTAAAATTTTTATTTATGAACACATCTAACAGAGTTACATTAAAATGTCATTTTAGTTATTTACTTTCATTAAACACCATATGAGTGGATTACTGGGTATGCTACTGATTTAACAAAGAATAATAATAAAAAAAAACAGTATTTTGAAAGTACAAGAGTATTAAAGTTAATCTTTCAAAAAAAAAAAAAAAAAAAAAAGACAAACTTTTAAAGCTATTAATCTCCTTCACCCACTTCTATCCAGGTTACAAGAAATGGTGACTAACCAACCTTACAATGCATGTCTTTGAGTAATGGTAGAAAAGCAGAGCCACACCAAGACAACTAGAAATGCGGGTAGGGAAGACCTAGTACATAGCATTTGGGAAACTTCATCACAGCAAATTTTAACCATTTATGGTGTTGAGCTCTTGCCCTGGTTTCACAAAAGAACTTAAGCCAGTTTCCCTGACTAAGAACTTGGTTACCATTTACCAAAGTTACCTGGTCACATGGACGCATCTTACCCTATCAGGAACAGTGATACAGCACTCTCAAGGAAATCGTAGTCAACTAAGTCAGGGAGCTGTCTTAAGTTTTTTTGTGAAACTGGGCCTGGTCAAGGTGGAACATTCTGTAGACTAGCAAAATATGGTCAACCCAAACTTGATAAAACTCAATCATCATCCTTTACATAGGCCACTAATTTTCCGATTATAGTAAGCCACTGCAAGCAATTCACATATTAAATGTTGCTTGGGGTTTGCACAGTAATGTCGAATTCCATGCTCCAGGCTGCCACAAAAAGTTTTTTTTCAAAGACATTTTATTACCTATAAGATCTTTGTTTGTATTTTAGTCTAAACGGAAAATGCAAATTTTACTATTGGTTACTTTTTTTCATGATGGTGAAAACAAATGCACAAAATTCACTTGATTGATTTTAAAATGTGTTTACTACTCGCAAACTACAGAAGTGAGATTTGTAAAGCAGGATCTAAGTGGCATATTTTAGATTAGTACATTCAGGTACAAACTAAAACTTGAACTAGTTCAGATCTTGTCTAAAATATAGACCCAACTAAGAATGCATAAAATCTAAGCTACAGGTAAATAGGCAGACATATATCTAACAAGTACAGATAGATACAAAGGAAACAAATATCTAGAACACTACAATAAAAACAATAATCATTAAAGCATCATATTCTACAAAATACTCAAAAGTTTATCCTGTTGACCAAAAATAAATAAATAAATGAATGATAAATAAATTATTAGCATGACTGTTTACTTACTTTTTGACAAATGGAATAATTATGAGTTGAGTATCTAGTCCAAATATGGCAAAAACAATAAACGGCTGTAAGGGAAAAAAGTCAGTGTGAACATCATAATTATATATTATCCATTTACTCTGTACAAAATAAGTAAATAAAAATGAAAGGAGAATGTAAAATAATGAATATTTTCGTTTTTAATGATTTGCCTCTGAAATGATTGCCACTTTATTTGGACATTTTTTGGTGAAGAACTTCCCATAACATAATAAATCAAATCGAAAGAAATATCACCCAATACATTACCTGTCCAAAATTAAATACACTATCCAGAAACTCTATCTCTATGTACACGCCAGAAGATATATTCTCCCTATACTCTCCAAAAAGCCGCCACAGACATAAGAAGATACCCTAAAAAGGAAAAGACAGGAATTGCTGATCAAAATGATATTAATTAAGGTGGGTGGGGGTGGGTGGGGGAGGGGTGGGGTGGGATGGGGGTTATGTTTATTTGTTCATTTCATGTACTTGAGGGCATATATTCAGGTACGATTTTCAACTAAAATATTTTGACATCCACATGTCCAATGTCCCTGAGTGAGTTGATGTCCAAGGGTGGATTTTTAACAAGACCCTGTTGCATCCCAGACAATGATGTGCCTCAAAAATAAATAAATAAATAAATAAATAAATAAATAAGCTAAGGTTATGAAGATGATACACACATGACTTGATCAACAAAACCCTGACTAAAATTAGTTTTGATAAAGTTTCAAATCATAAATCATTATAGAAGTCTAAATTGTCTATACAGGCTCTGGTAGAATTCAAAATTACTATGGCTTGCTTGCATTATCCCATCACTTACAATGAGCATTGACAACAACAGCACCAGTAACATCACAACATGGCGAGTAATCTGATATTCGTCGTCTGCCTCGGGGTCAGAATGCAAAGTGACTTCTTCTATGGCAGTATTATCTTTGTGGTATTGGCGTACTCTCTCCAGACATTCCCGTCGTTGCGCCTGAGAACACGAGGCCGAGAGAAGACAGGTGTCTTCCCTGAAGTCGCGCTCTGGGGCAGAATTCATAGAATCCCGGGAAGATTGTGAGCCTCCTGCCTTTGATGATTTGGATTTTGGTGCATCTGGGACTATGTCCTCTACATCTGGAAAATCAGAATTTTTGCTTCCTTTCATTGATGTGCAATATTACCAAATAAATACAATTCTTGAAAATAAATAAATAAATAAATAAATTAAATGTCCTCACTGAATCCAACACTGAAGCAGAGATAGAGAGACATACTTTTATGTTGAAACTTTAGGAAATGTATAGATACTTTGTTAGTTAGTTTTTAAATTAATCTTATTCATTGTTTGTCATCTTTTTAACTTTACTTCACAAAATCCTTCATACTGGTTATATAAGGTTTATGTTAGTATTCTTCGCTTAAAGAAAAGCTATGTGTGGGAAGGCAAGAATGCTATAAGTTTGAGACCAAAAAGACAATATTATTTTTAATAATCTAACCTTTTAAGTGTTAGTGCTAAAGATAAGTAAATGAAATAGTTTGTTCACACAGGGTCAGTTTAGAGCTGATCAGTGATTGGATAAACTCAAGCAGCTAAATAACCAAGCCCATTACATTTCAGTGGCGATCCTAATACATAGGGCATGACAGGGATCTGTACTACCAAACCTTAATTGGAAGTATTTTTGCATGCGCCATCTTTCAAAGAGAATAATTTGAAATAGTAAAAAGCACATGTCCGTACCCACAGTGGTCATCTTCATGCATTGTTCGCAAGAACCGCATGCCACCTTGTTACTACTACCACCCTCCATTAAAGACATGCAAACACCTTCAAGCTGACTTTTCTTCTGCCTTTGTTGGCGCATTCCGAGTATATCTTGAGGCATTTCATTATCTGTTTCCTGCTCGCTAGGAATATCAAAGCCTTCCTGGTTAATAGATTTATACTTGGTGGTGGTATTACCATTTTGTGGCAACAAATGGTAGTTGTGGTGGTGGCGGTCCCAGCGATGTTGGAGGACGAGGCAGACGATGGTCAAGATGGTGGAAATGAAGAGGATAACAGCCGATAATATGAACTGGAAGAGAATTATGGGAATGATGAAAGACATATGACTAAACAGTTTTTTCTCACTGCATTTGAACAAAACTGATTGACCACATTTCTTTAGACAAAGATAAAGGATTAGGGTTCTCTTCAGAGGATGCACACCTTTTAAAGGGATAACAACTCTTCATATGAGATTCAAAATTCCACACTACATGGAAATATAATAAATTCCATTCTACCACCAAAACGGTGGTTATCACAATTATTCTGAAATCTGTGCTTGCCATCGGACCACAAGAACCTTCGTAATAATCTCTTGAAAAACAATTGACCAACTATGAATGTCAGAATGGATTCATTGACCATTGGTAAATGACCATTGGAAACATTGTTGTTTACCCTGGCCAAGAAAATTCATTTTATGCCCTTCCTGCCAAAATGGAGAGTTGTTATATCTTTAAGTAACTGAATATAATAGTTTTGAAAAAATTCATTACTGGAATGAGCGTATGTTTGAAATTTGAGAGAAAATGCCATTAACTCCATAACGACTTATTGAAATCGTTAATTCAAAATGCATCCCTTCAAAATTAGTGTTCAGTTAAAAACATCTGTTATCCAATGAAAGCAAAATATTAAAGATAATTTTTACAAATATATTGACACATATAGATTTAATTAAATATTTTGTTTGTAATAACAAATCATTTTGGCTAAGTGATTTCAAGGTAAAAGATGTTCCATTTAAAAAAAAAGTCTCATCCCGTATTTATATTTTGATGTTATTAAAGAGGAATATAAGCACTAAAATGATATTTTATGAGAAAATAGTCAAAAAATTAAAAGAAACAGAGCACACTTCAATATTATGATCGACTAGAATCAAAAGATGATCATTAACTTATTACGAACAATACACATTCTTGTTACCAATTTTTTCAAAGTAAATTACTGAAATATAATAAACACATTAAAACTGCTGGAATGAATTAGCAAAAAGTTGAAAGGTAACACTTCTATTGAAAGTTATGCAGTTTAACAAAATAAGCTGTAACAAGCAAAGCAATATATAAAGGTTCAATTTCCAAGTAAAAATGTCATTTTCAGCTGGTAAAGCAAAAGGCACATATCAAAGCAAATTTATATTTAAACATAACTAGTACTTCATGGCTAGCTGAATTTTTTAAAACTATGACAAATTTTACATAAAGTTTTCATAAAAAATAAAATGATAAAAGATGAACACCTAATCATATTCTTTAACTTAAATTAAGCTGTTTACATTTTAAGTCTCCATTTATTGCATTGATAGCAATTTAAACATTCAAAAAGCTATTAAAAGCAGAATCACATTCAGGATTCCAAATCAGAGCACCTGTCTAAGTCAAGCAAGTAAAAGCGGCTATGATCTGCTGAAATGCCACCTGTTTGTTAAAAAGCTCCGACAGGGCCTCTTCAACCTACAGCACAGTAAGATATATCAGCTGAAAGCTGTGATAATGCAATATAACCAGTACAGAGAAAACATGTGGGTAAATATGTCTGTAAGATAAGAAATGACACATACACATATATGAAAAGCAGACAACAATATACACTGCTATAAACTGCTGTAATATACCAAGTGCTAACTTTTGCAAGACATTCAATTGCATGAATAGCCCTTTGTGTCAAGAATACTCAGAAGGTGCATTTACACTGGAAATAGGTCCATCTACTCTAGATCTCACTGTGAAGTGTCTGATTGAGGTACAATGTAAGCTCCCCATAGGCAAAAAAATGCTATCCACACTCTCCCACCAAAAACCACTCCATTGCGGTGCATGTTACATCAGGGATCATTGGAAGATCTCTTTAATGCCCATGGTATTAGCTAAGTACTCTCTAACCTCCCAAAGAAAAAGAGTCATACTAAGATGGCTGTCCTATCTTCAGTGTAAACGCTTCTTTGATGTCTCACACAAACCCCTTTCATGACATTTACAACTCATAACACTGCAAAAAGTTACACTATTTTAGCAAATAAAATGGCCAACTTTTCCATGAATCTTACAAATTATTACCTGAGGGTTGCCATATTGGAAAGAAGGATCATTATCCACGGTGCGTTGCCCTGCAGTAAATATCAATAAGAGGCCAGTGGAGAGGATAGGGACCCTGGAAAAAATGGAAATAAAATTGATATTCAGTATCATCTTACCGTATCAGACATGCCCTTGTGTCACATTTACTTATCAATATACAGGGCTATAAAAACCTCCCAAGTCTTACGAAACTGTTGGTAATTTAAGTTCCAAAACTTGCTTGTGACTGTAACGGTTTTGGCTCTGCTTCCTATTACAAAGTCAACCATTATTACTAAATGCTAATGCATAAAGTAAAGCTTTGCAACAAAATGAAGTTCTGAGTTCTAAAGTGGAAGCTAGGAGACTTACCCAAATCCACCAAACAACAAACAGATCCGATTCCGTAGCACAAAGCAGATGCTGCGCACTTTGAGGAAGCAGAGCGCTAGCGCCACCATGGCGGTCATGCAGCGTGAACTGAACACTCCAACCAGGAGGATGACAAACTGGATGTAGTGAGCCCAGCCGAGGTTGGAAGGAATGAGGTGCCATATTATCATGCCTAAACAGCCCAGGGACTGAAATTGTTGAAATGAGGACCTTGTTGAAGGAGCATCCAGACATTAATAGCATTAAAGTTAGTCAGTTACCAACATATTGTTTAAAGTACATCGCCTAAACAGCCCTAAACTGCAAGTCTTCACAAGATCATGAGAACCTTGTTGAAGTAGCATCCAGACAATTACTGCACTAAAGTTGGTCAGCTACCACCATACTGCTCAAGGTACAATGATAAGCTTCTAAGTAATCAAAGGCATTTTTTTTCAGAATAATTCCAGTACAAACAAAATCAACTTAACATAGATATATAAATTTAGCCACTTGTCTAACCACAGATTTGGATAACTGAAGAGACAATATATTCAGGTATTGTCCCAGTTTTTACCTGTGCTATCACTAGCATCATTACAAACTGGTGAGGCACTTTTCTCCATTTTCTACCCAGAATCATCACAGTCATTGTCCAGACCTAAAAAAGGGAAAAAGCAGCATGTGTATCAATGTTCAGTTTTGTTATAAATGAGAATTTTTTCATTAAGTTTAGCCTGCATGCTTCCTTTTTTCTTTAAGAATGGGCTCTTAAAGGAAAAGGAAAATAGAAAGATAGAAAGAAGTCCTGAAAATGAGGAAAAGCCCCAACCCCTTATCTAAGAAATGTGAAAATAATAATTCAATAATTAAACGGAAACAATGAGCTACATGTATATCAATTAGGCCCACAAACTTGGCAAACTACTATAATTATTCATCATTTTGAGCTTAAGAAAAGAAGAATGCAGGATACTTACACTACATACAATACCCAGTATACTGACATCAAATGAAGTGATTGTCAAAATGTCTTTATACATATCTGGATCTAGCACGGGCAGCGTGATCACGCGTGCTGACACGAACATCAGAGGTGCAGACAGAAAGGTCCCTATGACGGTTCCTGCAGCAATCTGAAAGTTGACGTAAAAGAAATTTTTACTTTGTACTACAGTCACTGCTAGTTTTTACACCAGATGTTAAACCAGCTGTAAATCAGCAATATTAGCCCACTGGCAAGGGCCTTTGACTGATATATCTGGTGTCATTTAAATTGAAAAAAAAAAAAAAAAAAAAAAAAAAAAACAAGGGCAAGGGCCTTTGACTGATATATCTGGTGTCATTTAAATTGAAATTAAAAAAAAAAAAAAAAAAAAAACTGATTTACCAGTAAAAAACTTCACCACAGTTTCAAATCAATTTTTCCTCATCTAAAAACTGTTTAGAGACACATTTTAACACATTTGAGTTCAGTTTGAACTTTGAATTAAATACTTACAGTTTCTGGTGCCAAGTTATATGTGCTGGCATATAAAAATACACTGGGAGCAGTGGGTATGGTACCATATAGAAAGCCATATGAACTGTAGGCAAGGGTGTCATTTCTATTTACACTGGGCTGTAGACCTATGACAATCTCTCTGGTGACAAGGGGAAGAATGAGCCTGGAAAATTATAAATTCGAGTCCTAATTTAGCACATGACTTTTGATTCTGGAAAATAATAAATCCAAGTACAAAATAGAATCCTTTATACCACTTTAATAAGAAGACAATTGTCACGCTGGTTGAGCTGTATAAATGTAATGACAAAATTAAAAACATGGGTTACAACCTTAAGTTAAACAGGGTTTAAAATATAATGACATGTATTACTCATCCCAAGTACTATGAGCAAAATAAGAACAAAATATCAAACAAGATTCAGCAATCAAATTAATAAAGAAGCTGGTTCTTTGCAAGTGGGTCTGTCAAGACAAAAACTTGCCAAAACTTATCACACAATTTGTCTGTCTGTTCCACATCTTTTCTTCAGTTCTTACTTCAGTAAAAAAGAATACTTAATGATACTAGTACTTACAGTTTGGCCACAATCAGGAGTATAGGGGTAATAAGTGCTTTCCCTCCAATGTGCTGTATCTTTCCCACCATACTCAGTCCCAGGTAGAACAGCGCCACTGCACTGAAGGACTGACCTACAGGAACATTGACAATATCTGTGTCACACTTCAGTTTGCTATCAATCAGACATGGGGAAAACTTGAGACATATTGAAGGTCAGGAAAACCTGCACTCAAGTATCTGAAGGTCCTCCCAATTTAGTGCTGGTCCAAACTATTTACAATATGGCGATTTATTATTTTGTATTGTGTTTTCACATTAACTTTGCTAGGCCAGATGACCTGTGACATCAGAAATCCTGCAGATCCTCTGGCATTTCAAGTGGTCATGACCAGTCGGACAGGCATTTTCCCCCCAAGTCCGATAATAAAGGCAATGAGCTGCATCAAAAAAGATTTGAAAACTGATAGTTGTTCCTGATTTAAAAGCCCCAAAACTGGTCTACTTCAATACAGAACAAATCAGTATAAGGGTCTACTAAACTGACATAACCAATGATCTTAAACATTATCCCTTGTTTTTACAATTCAGTAATCTCACTAGGATATGAATTGATAAAGTTATTTTCAGTTTTTTTTTTTTCAAAAATACACATCCACACACAAATGTTTGCTTACAAACACACACACACACACACACATACACACACACACACACACACATACACAAACACACACACACACATACACACACACACACATACACACATACACACACACCTATTCCAAACCTTAACTCACCTAACACAGTCAGAATGTCATCAATCACAGCAGGCAACTTGTGGTTGAACACAAAGTTCCCAATGATGCCAATAATAGTCATGAATACCAGAGGATTGAGCAAAACTCCCTTGCACACATGAAGCGCCAGCTGGAAAGTAGACAAACATGTTTCGTCATGCAATGAGGTCATAACATTTCTTTATTATCTTTTAAGTGCTGGAAAACATCTATCAAGGCCAACTTTGCAAAGGACTCAAGTTGCAGTCAAAGCTTAATATAAAAATACCATGCAACATTTTTTTCCAGAACCTAAATATCATGCAATGTTTTTTACTCCCAGCTTGGTGTGATAAACCTAGAGAGGAGCATAAATATAAAAAAAAAACATGATTACTTAACATATACTGCAATTTTAAAAGAAAATTTAACTTGCTTCTCCAATCATTCGTATCTGGCTAACAAAAACAAGACCATCTTAGCAAAACAATCTTCAAATATCAATATTCACTTTTTTATACCACAAACCTTTAAATTGCTGGATTTTTCATGTTCTCCAGATTCTTTTCTCTTCTCCAGTTCCATCATGGTAAAGCCTATAGGATTCAGTATGACCAGGGAAATAGGGGCAGCCAGGTAGATATACTCTATAAAGTTTGGGTGCGTTCCCTGGTACAGAGCACTGACTGGAAGGAAATATTATTAATAAAAATCACAAAATATTTCTTATGTTATACATATCTTAAATACAGTTTCACAGGAAGTAAATTTTAAGTTTGTGCATGTGTATGAAGAGACTACTAGTAACCATTAAAAAAAATTGTGGCAGGGCAAAAATGTCCTTTGGTCATATTGCTTCTTGCAGTTATGATTATAGCACCAATCCAGGGGCGGATTTAGGCCGTCTTCTGGGTCTTCCGGAAGACGGTCAGATTTTCAAGTTTACTCTGACGGGTATCTATATGTTTCTGTCAGAAGACGGTCAAAAAATGGAGGATGGATCAACAAATATAGTATGGAAGACTGTCAGAAAATATCTCTGGATCCGCCCCTGCAATCCACCCCCTCCCCAGCTCACACGCCTATGTATTAGTCTGGGAACAATACATCAATGTCTTGCTAAGGTGCATTTACAATAAAAAGAGGACTTGGTTTATTTCAAGCCTTTTGTGGGGACCCTATGATTAGGTTCAGCTAAACAGGCAGCATTTGGTATCCCTCTGGCCTCAGGCCATTGCCATGCCCATTACTGGACAGACATATATAATAACTAGGAACATACAAATTATATTAATTTTGCTCTGTATGATGATATCTGAAGACACACAAAGAAAGTTAGACTTTGAGGTAAAAAAAAAAAAAAAAAAA